AAGAGCGAGTTCGAGACCAACTTCTACAAACTGATGAACAACTCGGTGTTCGGCAAAACCATGGAAAACCTGAGAAACCGCGTCGGCGTGAAGATCGTCCTCAGCTGGGAGACCGACAAGATCCGCCGCCTGGTGGCCAGCCCCTCGTATGCAAGACACGAGATATTCGGAAACGACCTGGTGGGCATCCACATGCACTAAACGAGGCTGCTCTTGGACAAGCCGATCTACACCGGCATGACGATCTTAGAGAACAGCAAGATTTTGACGTACGACTTCGTCTACAACCAGATGAAAGCCCGATACGGGCAAAAGTGCGAGTTGATCTACACAGACACCGACAGCCTGCTCACGGAAATAGAGACGGACGACGTCTGCCGAGACATGGCGGAAGACCTCGTGCTGTACGATACAAGCAATTATCCCAAAGAGCACCCCCTCTACAGCAGCGAAAACAAAAAGGTGCTGGGGAAGATGAAAGACGAGTGCGCGGGAAGGGTGATTGATGAAGCGGTGGCTATACGACCAAAAATGTATTCCATCATGGAAGAAAAAGAAAAAATGTCAAGAAAGCCAAGGGAGTAAAAAACAGCGTGGTAGAAAAAGAGATCCAGCATGAGCAATACAAAGAGACACTGTTCGAGGAGAAGCAGTTCTGGCACGGGATGAACATCTTGCGAAGCGAGGGCCACGAGATCTACGGCATGCGCGTGGACAAGGTCTCGCTGTCGGCGTNAAAAGGTGCTGGGGAAGATGAAAGACGAGTGCGCGGGAAGGGTGATTGATGAAGCGGTGGCTATACGGCCGAAAATGTCAAGAAAACCAAGGGAGTAAAAATGAACGTGGTAGAAAAAGAGATCCAGCATGAGCAATACAAAGAGGCACTGTTCGAGTAAAAGCACTTCTGGCACGGGATGAACATCTTGCGAAGGGAGGGCCACGAGATCTACGGCATGCAGGTGAACAAGGTGTTCAAGTTCCCCGGGCTGATGCAAACATCTTACATTAATGACAGGGGGAGCTTTTTTCTTTCAAGCCAACAGGTCTGGAATACTTTATAGATGGTTTGGAGGTGACAGATTTCTCTTTGATTGTGACAGCTGGTTTTTTCCTGATAAGACTAGTGACTTCGCCGTTAAGAGCGGCAACAACGTCGGGGAGCCTTTTGACCCAGGCAGTCGACCGCTCGCCAGAAGGCAACAGCATTTCTACGGCATACTGACGCCCAAACAAGCGCTCGGCGAGCGTGTGGTTGAAACGTTCAACGATAGCTTGGTCTCTGTGAATGTCAGGGCGCCCACAGCGAATGGTTGTTTTGTGGTTTTCCATTTCTTTGGTCACGCTTCCCATGAACTCGCGCCCAGTGTCTTCCTGCAGCAGCTGAGCCCACGTCAAAGGGCTGCGCTTGTAAATCAACTGAAAAGCTTTCGCAACCTCAGCAGAGTCTTTGGAGGTCAGAGGCGCAGCTTCTTTGTAACGGCTGGTGACGTGGACAGCGGTCAGCGTGTATTTGTAAGATTTGCGGCCGCGCGGGAGCTTGTCATGAGGCAGAAAAAGAAGATCTGCTTGGTGGACCGCGTTAGGTGCCGATACGTTGAATTTGGGGCGAGGGATGTAGCGCACCGAGGGGAGATAGATCTGCCAGAGAGCCTGTTTGATGAGCCACTGCTTGGCAGTTTCTTCAGGGACTTTCGCAGCGTCTGCTAGTTTTTTAATGGCAGCGATGCCTTTCCAGTAGCCCTGGGGGCTGTAGTAGATTTTGACAAGCTTGGCGTCCATATTTTGTAACAGCGTGTTTATTCAAAGAAAACGAAAAGCAGCGTAGCCGAGAGCGAGCGCGCTGCCGCCCACAAAAAGCAGCTCGCCTTGTTTCTGGAACTCACTGGGCTGATATACGTCAGCGAATCGGGATTCTTTGGGGGGTTTTATTGGCTGGTCTGGTTGGGCCTGGTTATAGAGTTTGAAAGCGTAATCAGTGTTGTGAAGTTGTCGAGTTCCAGTTCCAGTTCCAGTTCGAGTTCGTCCCCAACTTTTAGTGTTCGTGTTTACATAGTTGTTATCGAGCTATTAAACAATTTCAGTCTATGTATGTTTGATAAGCTTAAATGATGATTGTTCGCTTGTTCGAGCGCGCAACAAAGTCCAAAGGTTACTTGCCACCAACGAGCTCTCCACCGAGCGAAGTCACCAACAAGCGAAGTTTCCTCGCCACCAGTAATCTAATAAGGCAGTAGATAAAAGAACGAGAATAATCTCCATATGCAACTCCATCTGGTTGGTGGCGATCAAGTTGAGTCGATGTGGGGGCGAACTCAGTGGGGGCGAACTCGCCATGGGGCGAAACCGGCAGCTACCTGAACATGGCGCGCTCTTTGATTTCAAAGGCATGCCTCTGGAATTTGACTTAGAAATTAATTAACGCTTTTTATACCATGTCGTCTACGAACGTTCTACCGTCCGCTCCTCCTGAAAGCTCTCCGGAGCCTCTCTATCCCATACTGACAACACCAGCTGAAAATTTCCGTTTGCAAAAGATCGACGAGATAGCCAAAGTTTTGGACCAAGAGGTCGGCCACCATCGCCTCGTTGTGAAAAAATACAAACGGGCAAAAAAATTCGTTATTTGGAGTGCTGCGGGCTCCAGTTTTCTCTCAGCAGCGTTTTCAAGCGCGAGCTTTGGTTCGACTCTGTCGGTGGTTGGCCTGCCGGCCACAATTCCCTTAGGCGTTGTTGGCGGTTGTTTCGCTCTCGTTTCTTCGGGGCTAATAATCGCCAGCAGGAAATTTGAGGCAACAATTAAAAAGCATCAAGAGATTACCACGCTCGCCGTCGCCAAACGTGACACAGTCGGCAGACTATTATCCAAAGCTTTGAATAACAATGCCGTGTCTGCCCACGAGTTTGACATCATTTTTTCCGAGTTTCAGCAGTACAACGTCCTGAAGGAACAAGTCCGAGCCAAGCTGATTCGCCAGCCTCTTCGCTCAAACTACAGGGTTTTAAATGAAATAAATGATTTACTCTACACTTTTCTGTGGAATGGTAAAGGCGACAAGATAAAACGGAAGGTAATGATCAATGATTTCGGTGTGGTGGCCTAAAAATGATTGATATTAGTTCCTTCAATAAATCCCTCAAAACCACCTGGATTAAAAAATATTTAGATAACAACAACAAGGGAAAATAGGAAATCTTTTTTGATATAACCCTCAAAAAATACGGACGCCTGTCAAAACTTTTTATCCTACAACCTCAACGGTAGAGACACCTTATCGACAATAACAACTTCGGATGCCTTTTTAAAAGAACTGTTAGGAATCTGGGCAGAAGTTAACTTTGAACCTGAAATAACATCGACAGAACACTTTCTGGATCAACAACTTTGGCCTAACTCCCTAATAAAGATAGCCAATAAGACAGGTTTTTTTTTTTAAAATTGGCTCACGAAGGGAATAACTTGGGTGAAACATCTTTTAGGACCGGACAACAACTTTCTCTCGTTAAATGATTTCCGCTGTAAGTATGAAATAGACCGTCACCCTCTCAGCTTCTAAGGATTAATATCGGCTGTAAAGTCTCTTCGGACTCATTCTAATTTTCAAGACTTACAGAACACCGACCACGAATATGAGCCACTTACAACAAGAATTTTACAAGTCAAAAAAACAACTACGTTAATATAATATATAGATTTAGGCCAGCCTAATTGCGTAGCTCCTGGGACGGGTTGTTCAAAGCCCGATTAAGCTAAACCAGAAAAAAGTAGAATTTTGATTTGAGTTTTGTAACTCTGCGGTGAGGTTTTCTGTATATTGTTTGGCCTTCTGTTTTGAGTTTTAATGATCACCATATACACAAAACGAAACAGCAAAAAACATTTGTATAGAAGAAAAAGTTATAATTCGGTTAACTTTTAATCCTGGGTTAGCGTTAACTAGCTTCCGAACAATCCTGCCCTGTGTCTAACAAGTTAATCTAATATGAGCCCGCGATCCAATCGAGAACCAGCACTTGGTCAGCGGTCAACTTCAAAAAAACAAGTGACCTTGAAGAGCTGTAAACTTGAGCCC